GATGGAAGTTTGTGTTAGTTTGTGTGTGTGTGTGTGTGTGTGTGTGTGTGTGTGTGTGTGTGTGTGTGTGTGTGTGTGTGTCATAAGGTTGTAATGTGTGGTCATGTTCTGGTGTGTGGTCATTGACTTGTAATATGTGGTCGTAATGTTGTAAAGAGCGGTCATAATGTTGTGTTGTGTGGTCATAACGTTGTAATGTGTGGTCATAGAGTTGTGGTCCGTCCATCCGTCCGTTTTCTTCCTCTAATCTAGGGTCGGATTGTGGGGGCAGCAGCCTAAGCAGAGACCCTCCCTCTACCCAGCCACTTGGGCCAGCTCATCCAGGGGAATCCAAACGCGTTCCCAGGCCAGCCAAGAAACAGTCCCTCCAGTGTGTCCTGACTCTGCCTGTCGGCCTCCTCCCGGTGGGACGTGCCCGGAACACCTCACCAGGGAGGTGTCCAGGAGGCATCCTAACCAGATGCCCGAGCCACCTCAGCTGGCTCCTCTCGACATGGAGGAGCAGTGGCTCTACTCTGAGTCCCTCCTGGATGACTGAGCTTCTCACCCTATCTCTAAGGGAGAGCCCAGACACCCTGCGAAGGAAACTCATGTTGGCCGCTTGTATCCGCGATCTTGTTCTTTCGGTCACTACCCAAAACTTGTGACCATAGATGAGGGTAGGAACGTAGACGACCGGTAAATCGAGAGCTTCGCCTTCTGGCTCTGCTCTCGCTTCACCACGACAGACCGTACAGTGCCCACTTCAAAGCAGACACAGTACTAATCTGCCTGTCGATCTCCTGCTCCATTCTTCCCTCATTCGTGAACAAGACCCCGAGATACTTAAACTCCTCCACTTGGGGGAGGACCTCCTCCCTGAACCGGAGAAGGCAGCTACCATTTTCTGGCTTAAGACCATGGTCTCAGATTTGGAGGCACAGATCCTCATCCCTGCCGCTTCGCACTCAGCTGCGAACTGCTCCAGTGAGAGTTGGAGATCACGATCTGATGAGGCCAATAAGATCACATCATCCGCAAAAAGCAGAGATGCAATCCTAAGGTCACCAAAACAGATCCCTTCAACACCTTGGCTGCACCAAGAAATTCTGTCCATAAAAGTTATGAACAGAATCTGTGAGAAATTCCTGAATCTGAGATGGACTTGGCGGAGTCCAACTCCCACTGGAAATGAGTCCAACTTACTACCAGCAACATGGACCAAGCTCTGGCACCGGTTGTACAGGGACCTGACAGCCTGTATCAACGGGCCTGGTACCCCACACTCCCGGAGTGCCCCCCACAGGAGTCCCAGAGGGACATGGTCGAACGCCTTCTCCAAGTCCACAAAACACATGTAGACTGGTTGGACAAACTCCCATGCACCCTCGAGGACCCTGTTGAGGGTGTAGAGCTGGTCCGCTGTTCCAGGACCAGGATGAAAACCACACTGCTCTTCCTGAATCTGAGATGCAACTATCCAATGGACCCTCCTCTCCAGGACCCCTGAATAGACCTTACCAGGGAGACTTAGAAGTGTGATCCCCCTATAGTTGGAACACACTCTGCGGTCCCCCTTTTTAAATAGGGGGACCAACACCCCGGTCTGCCAGTCCAGGGGAACTGCTCCAAATATCCATGCGATATTGTAGTGTCGCATCAAACAATGCAACCCCACAACATCCAGAGCCTTAAGGAACTCCAGGAGAATCCCATCCACCCCTGGCGCCTTGCCACCAAGGAGCTTTTTAACCAACTCAGTGACCTCAGTACCAGAGATTGGAGAGTCCGACTCAGCGTCATCAGGCTCTGCTTCCTCATGGGAAGTTTGACATTAGACTAAAAAATGTCAGACTGTGAGTGGTGTTGAAGACACAGGACAAGGATTACAAAAAGGTAAGTGTTTTTATTTACAGGTGCAGCAGTGGTCATCTATCTGAAAAAGGGGAAGAGTCCAAGGTAAGTCCACAACGTCTTTGAGAAGTAGATGATGAATATTGTGATGAAAAATAAACTTTATTTTTTCTTACAGGTTTTTGTAGGCGAGGAGATTTGTAAATCCAAGGTGAGTATACAAATCTTCAGGCAGAATAGCAAGAGGCAATGAGACACCCAAACAGTGAAACCTTGTTGTGTTTTTGTTATGATTCTGTCCCTGTCTGTCCAGATCATGCCTCAATTTAGTTTTGTTATCTTATTTCATGTTCCAGTTTCTCCTCATAGTCTTGTTCCCAGCCTTACAGCTCACATCCAGCTCCTGCTCATTGCTCTCGCCCCTCCCTTCATAGAAACCCTAATCAAGCTCATTTCACTCACCTGTTTCCTGCAGCATATAATCCAGTCTCACTCTTCAGTTCACTGCCAGATTATCATCAGCTTGCCTGTGGTTCTCCAACGTTTTCATCCATGTCTCGTTTTTACCTCTTGATCCCGACCTTGTTCTTGTCCCCTGGTTCAACGATTTTCGCCTCAGCCCCTAACAGATTATACCTGCCATCTGCTTTACCGGTAACAACTCACACCTTGCTTCTTGGACTCCTGCTCTTTGCCTCACCCCTGATCGGTACCTCCAGCCATCTGACCACCTGGATCTTGATCCACGCCTGTCCCACGGATTATCAGAACTTGCCTTTTGGACCCAAATACTCCAAACAAACTAACGGTGAAGTCACCGCACTGTGCTGGAATGCAAACCCTTCCATCAAAGTTTCCGTCTGGAGTCCTTCAACTGGAAACAGGTTAGTGGCTTTAATTCTTTGGAAAGTCCTCCTATATCATTCTGCCACTAATCTGAATTTTCTGAGTTTAGATCTGACGAGAATCCGGTCCAAGCGCTTCCTGGTTCATTCACCTCTGCACAATAAACTTTGTAAAACTTTTTCTTGGTCCGGTGCTTATTCAGAACTCAAAACTAGGTTCTTATCAGTTTTGTCCTATTGCAGAGTTTCCAATGGCAATCCTGGCAGGGGGAACTTCCTGGTGGTGGAACCTTAAAAGATATCAAAAGGTAAGTAACTATAACACTTTTTAACTTAGTGGCTTCAGTACTCTACCATAACAGAGAGATGCATCAGCGAAGACCAGAAGTTCAGGTGGAGCTTATAAAGGCCAGGAGCTCATCAGTGGAAACCGCCAACAGGTGAGGTGATTAGTGAGGAGGAGGGCATGAAGATCCACCATCTTCACAAAGGTGTGTCGATAGGATTGAGGAGGTCTTTGAAGTATTCCGCCCACCGACCCACAACGTCCCGAGTTGAGGTCAGCAGCACAACATCCCCACCACAGTGTTGGTGGCTTTCCCCTCCGAGATGCCGGACGGTGGACCAGAATTGCCTCAAAGCTGTAAGGAAGTCTTTTCCCCTGGCCTCTCCGAACTCCTCCCACGCCCGAGTCTTTGCCTCAGTGACCACCCGAGCCGCAGTTCGTTTAGGCTGCCGATGCCTGTCGGCTGCTTCCGGAATCCCACAGGCCAAAAAGACACAATGGGACTCCTTCTTCAGCCTGACAGCATCCCTCACTGCCGGTGTCCACCAGTGGGTTCGAGGGTTCCCGCCACAACAGGCACTGACAACCTACGGCCACAGCTCAGGTAAGCTGCCTCAACAATGGAGGCACGGAACATGGCCCACTCGGACTCAATGTCCCCCACCTCCCCTGGAATGTGTTCAAAGTTCTCCTGGAGGTGTGAGTTGAAGCTCCGTCTGACAGGAGACTCTGCCAAATGTTCCCAGCAGACCCTCACTATATGTTTGGGTCTGCTAGGTCTGACTGGCATCCTCCCCCACCACCAGAGCCAACTCACCACCAGGTAGTGGTCAGCTGAGAGCTCCGCCCCTCTCTTCACCCAAGTGTCCAAGACATGCGGCCGCAGATCAGATGAGATGACAACAAAGTCGATCATTGAACTGTGGCCTAGGGTGTCCTGGTGCCAAGAGCACATATGGACACCCTTATGCTTGAATATTCTGTTCGTTATGGACAATCCATGACGAGCACAGAAGTCCAATAACAAAACACATCTCAGGTTCATATCAGGGGTACCGTTCCTCCCAACCACGCCCCTCCAGGTCTCACTGTCATTACCCAAGAGTGTTGAAGTCCACCAGCAGAATGAGGGAGTCTCCGTTAGCAGCGCTCTCCAGCACTTCCTCCAAGGACTCCAAAAAGGGTGGGTAATCTGAGCTGCTGTTAGGCGCATAGGCACAAACACCAGTCAGGACCCATCCCCCCACACGTAGGCAGAGGGAGGCTACCCTCTCGTTTACTGGGGTGAACCCCAATGTACAGGCACCAAGATGGGGGGCAATAAGTATACCCACTCCAGCTCGGCGCCTCTTAGCATGGGCAACTCCAGAGCGGAAGAGTGTCCAACCCCTCTCGAGGAGACTGGTTCCAGAGCCAGAGAGGTGTGCTGAGGAGAGTCCAACTATATCTAGACAAAACCTCTCAACACCACACACCAGCTCAGGCTCCTTCCCCACCAGAGAGGTAACATTCCACATCCCCAGAGCCAGCTTCTGTAAACGAGGATCAGACCGCCAAGTTCCCCGCCTTCGACCACGGCCCAACACACAATGCACCCGACCCCTAGAGCCCCTCCCACAGGTGGTGAGCTCATGGAAAGGGGTGTGGTGTGTGATCATAATGTTGTAGTGTGGTCATAATGTTGTGGTGTGTGGTCATAATGTTGCAATGTGTGGTCATAATGTTGTGATGTGTGGACATAATGTTGTAATGTGTAGTCAAAGAGTTGTGGTATGTGATCACAAAGTCGAAATGTGTGGTCATAGTGTTGTAATGTGTGGTCATAATGTTGTGGTGTAGTCATTGTGCTGTAATGTGTGGTCATAGTGTTGTGGTGTGTGGTCATTGTGTTGTAATGAGTGGTCATAGTGTGGTATGTGGTCATTGTGTTGTTATGAGTGGTCATAATGTTGTGGTGTATGGTCATTGTGTTGTAATGTGTGGTCACAATGTTGTGGTTTGTGGTCATTGTGTTGCAATGAGTGGTCATAGTGTGATATGTGGTCATTGTGTTGTTATGAGTGGTCATAATGTTGTGGTGTGTGGTCATTGTGATGTAATGAGTGGTCATGTCTTCTTCTGAATGTGTTTT